CAAACATCCATCTAAACATTCGCATTTATAATATTAGTAAAATAGTAAGAAGTAAGGTGAACGTTAAAAGTAACAGATAATTTTATTTTGTAAGCCTGGACTTATGTAAACGGGCAATAATATTAAAAACAAATAAAAAAATAAAGCTTTACAGATCTTATCAACGTTATTGCCGTATAAAGTTGTTTGACTGCTTATTGATGTTAAAAATAATACGACTACAATCATTTAAATTAATTCTTACTAAGCCGTATTCCTGATGCGATTAACAATCAAAGGGCATTCCCTTCAAGTCTATCCATTGACAATAAGAAGATGCTTGAATATCATTGTACCTTTTTTAATTGTTGCAATATTGTATAGTAGCCATAAAATATCACATATAAATAATAATATACAGATGTCTATGGGTAATGGTCACTTCAATATTTTGTCGAATTCAAGTGGCCAGCATGTTCGTTTGCCAATTATTACTATAAAAATAATTTAAAAAAAAAATATCTTTCGTACAAAACGAACTCTTTTTTAAGCATATTCTTTTTATTTTATTTACGTTGGTTATTAAGCATTTTATATTATTTTAATATAGGTATTACATTAAACCATAGAGCAAATATTGCCGTCTTCGTCTGCCATTTACTTTATATGTGATAATTCAAAGACAAAACACACGTAAACATACAAAGATAGATCTAACGGTTAACACATTTTGTTAACATACAGGGTGTCCCAAAAGGAAACGTACATAGGAAGGGGGATGATAGGGGTGGTCACAAGGGTCACCAGAAAAATAAAATAAAAATTCCCCTATGGGTATTAAAAAAAATAAATGGCATTTTTTAAAAACCTAAAAATTTTACACCTTCAGGGGCAATTTTAATTTTCTTTAAAACATTTGTTAGTTGTATTGTTTTTTTTTATTTCATATTGATAAAGGGTTATTGACGATAACATAATAGCTTTTTTTTAATGTAGCAATATTTGTAGGTCATTGGTTACAAAATTGCCCCAGAAGGTGTAAAATTTTTAAGTTTTTAAAAAATGCCCTTTATTTTTTTTAATACCCAGAGGGGAATTTTTATTTTTCTGGTGACCCTTATGACCACCCCTATCATCCCCCTTCCTATGTAACCTTTTGGGACACCCTGTATATAAAAACCATATCGTGATATATTAATAATAAGAGACAAGAAAATCAATCTATTTTTATCATAAACATACAAAACGTGCAGACCGATCGTGTATCGATTGAATTGGACTTACTGTAGGTTTCTGACACGTAAATCTCTGTATAAAACATATTGTCATCCCTGTCAATATCCTTGATAATATCATCATCAGCCTATACTAGTCCACTGCTGGACATAGGTCTCTCCCATGACACGCCATTGACTACGATTCACGGCCACTCTCATCCAGCTTTTGCCAGCTGCCCTGCGAAGATCATCGCTCCACCAAGTCTGAGGACGTCTTACGCTACGATATAGAGATGGCAATATATTTTAAACGGAGCTTTTGGACTTAGAATCTCACGGTTAGTAGAGTAAGAACCGCTAAATCATCGGTTATGATATACAGTTTTAACCACGCAAACATTTTTTGTCTTGATAGATTTTAAGTTTTATCTTAAATGAAACACATTTCAACTTGAAACTATCAGAGCATACTTATCACAAGTCGATAAGAATAGCCTACTGGACTTTATCTATTAGACCATTAGATATTGAAATAAAACGCATTTATATTTTTAGACATTACTAGCTGTCGCCTGCGACTCCGTTCGCGCGGGATTAAAAATAGATGTTGGCCGATTCTCAGACCTACTCAATATGCTCACAAAATTTCATAAGAATCAATCAAGCCGTTTCGGAGGAGTATGGGAATGAAAATTGTGACACGAGAATTTTATATATAAGATTAATAACAATCCTTTGGAGCGAATGACGTGCTTTCGTTACTAAATCTAGTGTCAGAATGAATAGTGAGAGGACACAAACATCGACATTTTAGTAAGGCTAGTGTTGAGTCAATACACTGGCTCATTTTTCGAATTTTCTTCCTATCAGTATAAATAATTAGACAAGTTTGTATTTTCTGTCTATAAAAGTCAACTTTCAACACAACTAACCTGCGGGGCTAGACAAAGTGCATTCGCTTCGAAGCGATTCCATAACGAACTTCAAACATGTATAGAACTGACAATAACTTTCGATAAGTCACGTGATTGTCGCGCGTCAGTTCTATGCAGTTTTGAAGTCCGCTATGGAATCGCACATAACGCGGTAATTTTGCGACAATATATTTTTAGTTACATTGCATCTTACTAAGATAAAGCACGGACAAAAACAATAGGAAAACGGTAAGTGATGAGTTTTTAATTATTACATTTCAGAGACCGTGACCAATTAGTTGTTTAGAAATTAAACAATACTTGTTGGAAACAGAGAATTTAACGACCACGAATAACAGAAAAAGAGATTTAAAAAATGAAGATATTTACACGACTTTTTTTTTAATTTTAGCATATCTTACTAATATTATAAATGCTAATATTTACATGGATGGATCGATGGATGGATGGATGTTTGTTTGAAGATATCTCCAGAACAGCTGAACAGGTCTGATAGAATTTACATAATATAACACATAGTCTGGAAGAACACATAGGCTACGAATTACATTTCAATTCTGCGCGGACGAAGCCGCGGGCGACAGATAGTAGGTTAAAAACAATTTTTAACAAGACAATTAAATACTTTTCGTCACGCTATAATTTATTCCCATTAAAACCAAGTTCGTAAATATAAGCATATAGGATATTTCCAATTCAATACACAGCCTCAGTGATAGTATTCCGTTAAATTTAGTAAGAAGAAAAACATTCACAATTGAGAATGCAACATCGGAATGTACGCTGCATTGCTTAAGAGAAAGTGTGTTTAATACTCTTTCTTAAAAATACCCAAAAGTATTTGCAAGCCGTTAAAGTATGAATCATTTGTTTTTACCTATCATCAAGAGCTATACGTCCCCACAGAGGGGTAGGAGTTTTTTTTAATATTTTTGATTTAAAAAAACACATTTATTTGACCTGTATATTAAGCAATATTAATTCTGTTATTTTAATTGGAATGAAATTAAAAGTGCTATCAGGTATTTACGTATTTGTAACATCGTTATTTGTAAGATCGAAATTTAAAAAGAATTTTCCACAAATGGTGAATAATAGCACACATCATCAGATTACCTTAAAATTATCATAATTTCTTAATCTATATATATAAAAGAAAGTAGTGCTAGTTACACTATTTATAACTCAAGAACGGCTTTACCGATATAGCTGAAAATTGGTGAAGAGGTAGCTTAGAGCCAGGAGAGGGACATAGGACATTTATTCATTTTTTTTTCGAATTTATGCCTTGAAGAGCTGCTTTTTATTTTACTTACTAATATTATCATTGCGAATGTTTAGATGGATGTGATGATGATGGATGGATGGGTGTTTGAAGATATCTAGAAAGGCTGAACGGATCTCGATTAAATTTGTCTTACGTATAGAATAAGAACACAGTCTGAAAGAACACATAGGCTACACTAATTAAGTTTTTTTATATATCCACGCGGACGGAGCCGCGGGCGACAGCTAGTATCAATATAAAAATTAAATTGACTGCTGTCATATATTATTAGTACGTGTGGTCATAGGTACGTATATTTGTTTCTAGCCATATACCTTGCGAAGTTGATATTAGCCACGGTTTGCATTACTTCCTTATGACCTCACAGATTGGCCTTAGCCCGTTTATATCAAAGCCTATCCAACCTAGATTCAGTTACATGTAATTAAATGAAGTGTGAAATTTGTGTTACATATTTCGTTTGGAATTTACAAAATTTCATATGAAAACATAACACAAAAACGTAAATACAAAATTAATATAATATTAACATATTTGTTGTATCTATAATACGCAATTAGTTAACAAAACAATTAAACAAAAACAGTTTAGAAACGTGTCCAGATATTGCATTTTGCATTGTCGTAGATAGATCTGGTAGGTAGATAAATGCGCCGATCTTTCGTGAGAGGCTTTAGGACAAGATGTCTTCTTTAATATAACTGTCTAAAAAACTTGGAACAAAAACATATTTTCATCCCTTTCATTCTACTTTTAAAAACTGTGATAGCCATTTCTTTTCGTACATGTGCTAAACTATAACATACAAGCTGTCGACCGCGACGCCGTTCGCGCGTTAATAAAAAAACATAATTAGTAGCATATGTGTTCTTACAGAATAATCTATATGTGTGCCAAATTTCATCAAGATCCATTCAGCCGTGCTGGAGATACAAACAAACATCCATGTGTCTATCCATCTAAACATTCGCATTTATAACATTAGTAAGATTAACAAACTATTTACTTTTACTTAAATAACATCTGATTCATTTACCCAATCTAGAATCGCACCCACACAAATCAAAGGCCAAATCTTAGTGCGAGTGGGATAACAGAAACAAACAAAATCTTGCTAAATCTTGTGTAGGTTGACTGCAGTATTTATTCACATTTATTTATATTTAACTGTATTGTAATTGTACAGTAAAGCTCTTTTTTATATTTAGAGAGTTTATTGAAGTTATAATTTCCTCGAAACCAAAAATTTCAAACTTCATATGGTTTTTATTATTTATACAACACTAGCTGTTGACTCTGCACAATATTTAAAAAAACGTAATTAGTAGCCTATGTGTTCATTCAGACTATATTCTACATCTATTCCAAATTTCAGCAACATCCATGCAGCCATTTTAGAGATATCTTCAAACTAACAAACATCCGTCCATCTATCCATACATTTATAATATTAGTAACATTGTAATGTCAACAGAACTAAAGTTATGTATTAAAATTACAGATCAATCTATCAACGGGAAGTGGGCACAATCTCAGTATAATAAACAGAGTTAAATAAAATTGTTTAAAAATATAACTTACCTTCTAGCAAGATGAAGCCTCTCCTGTGTAGTAAGATGCTCCACCTGTGCCATCTCTGCCACTAAGTCGGAGTGCTCCATTTTCCTTGAAAAGAAATGAAAATATTAATGATAATCATCATATTAGCTTTCATCACTTGCTGTGTATAGTGCTTTTTCTTGTCCCATCACTTTTTCCAATTTAATACCTTTAATTATAATACACTAGACCAATAAAAAGGTTCTTGACATAGGGACGGACAACAAAGTGATCTAATAAGGGTTCTGGTTTTTTTTTTCTTGAAACTCTAAAAAGGATCAGAAAACACAAAAATCCTATCTCACATAATCATAAGTGGATTAAAGAATATTATTCCTCAAAACTGATTAAGACATTTGGATGAATATAAATCTAACCTCACCTTACTTTTTAATATCACCCAAGCCTTTTACGGTCATATTGAAATAAATATTAAACAAGTAAAACATCAAAAAGGTCTATGTATTAAGAGTCAAGAGATGCTTATGTAAATTCTGGCAAAATAATTCTTATTCTTAACTTCAGTCAATCTTCTTTTAAATGCACTGATGAAATTAATGGAAAAAATTAAACAGTAGCTACTTATATGGAATTCCATGTTCCACTGTATAGATGTACAATTATTATTAGGTTTGTTAAGAGTCTAATATTTCTCAAGGTATAAATTATGTGTCAGCTAATATTTTCTCTGACTACCCTTTATTTGAACATTGTTATTAAATTTGTTTTTGAATTAATTATACAAATTTTTTATACTAATTTTAATAGTAATTAAACTTTAGGGTAACCATGTATCCAATAAAATAGAAATTATTTCCAATTTGAATCCAGTAAGGGGCAAATATTTTTTTTGGCATTTCTTATCATGATACAATCATTAATAGTTTGCTTTAAATCCTGAAAGTAAGTATTTATTTTAAAACTCACCTGTCTCTTGTTAATATAAGATTTTATTTTTTCATGTTTACAGCAATTTATTTATTTGTGTTAAAATAAGTTTAAACTACATATTTCAGTTATGAATAAATAAGGCTCGAGTGCAGTTATTGATAAATATGAAATGATAAGATAATCATAAAGTATACTAGATAACCACTAATCAACGACAAAGTTATATTAATGTCGAATTACTTTCATACATTACAAACACAGTGTATTGATCCTTTTGTAAACAAAGTGTTAACAACAACTTTATATGCCAAACTCAACGGATTTAGTAGGCACGTTTAATTATTTTCATCATAACTTTGCGCAATCTTTAAACTATAAAAAGTTGTTATTCTAAGACGTTACACATTTATGTTCTTATTTTATAATGTTTTATTAAACTTACCGCAGTCGTTTATTTCTACAAAGCACAAGTATGTTTCATTCTGGTATTGTAACCTTTATCACACATAATATACACTAACGTCACATTCAACACTCAATATAATCGTAGAAATAGCCGAAATTGACACTTTTAACATAACTTTTTACGCTATAGAGTCATTTTGAGTTTTTGTAATGAAAATAATAATCGAAAATAAGAATCACAAAATACAACAGGCATACGGGAGATTGAAAAAGCTACAGAACAAAATACAGTTATCCAAGTAACACAGATTATAGTCCACAATATTTACTGATAACTACTGACAGCTACTAACAACTACCATCTTAAAGTCAAGTCTAAACTGTCACTGTCAGACCGCTGTCACGTGACGTCTTCTGTAGCTGTCATAAATTTTTCGTTTTGAAATGCTGTAAAACAACTTGTGTATATTATTGTTAAAATGGTCATTATTATAGGTCAATTTTACAGAGGAGATTAGAACGCTTAATCTAGTGCTATTACCTTTCTATTAGACTTCGCCCATGAACCCATCCGGTACATACATTGACTTCAGGTTTCTTTAATTTTCAGAAAAACTTTAAAATTAAAGACTACTTTGGCATGTAATATATTTTATTTTCAAGAAATTACAGGATCTGTTAATCAGCTATAGTACAATTTAATCAGTACCATACCCATAACAATAAAAAAAACAATAAACTGCAATAGTATAGCCTAGGCACTATTAGTATCAATTGACATAACATTGTTTATGAAAACTTATTGATTACATGCAATTTTATTTAGTTACAGATCAAATTTTTATAAACCTTTTAAAGCTAACAGTTAACACGACTCTACAGTTAATACAACGAACTAAATAAAAAAAGACACATAAAACACAAGGTATCAAAAAAAGTAATCATATAGTGTTTCTATTTGAAAAAATTATCCTCTGATTTCAAAATATCACATCACATTTTGTGGCAGCCGCATAAAACTATTTAGATTTGAATATAGTGTCATATCAGCTATTTATATATTTCGACTAAATTGTTAATTAAACACTTCACATCTCTTCTCTTTCCATATTATATTGTGTTAAATATCATATCTACATGAATAATTACAAAAATCACACGTTATAAATAAAAAATTCCAACGTTATTTTTTATGACGTACAAGTAAAAATCAAATTAAAGACTATTGTCAATCGGTGTCTACATCAATTAATTGCCTACATTATAACAAGTGCGTTTCTACACCAATTTCGTAACACGCAAAGTTATATACAATATCACAATTAAGAATCAATTTGATTAGTTTCAAAATAGTTTGTAACTGGAACTTATTATATTTTTTACTAAAATGCAAAATAAAGGAATTAAAAAAATCTACAACCAAAGATAGCCTAACTCGACATTCATTTTTAAACACTTTTACTACTTAGGATTTTAATTCAAATTCACGCAATTTTCATCTAATATTTCACTAGCTACATTATCCTACATATTTTTATTATGGTACACAGGAGGATGCTGTGGGTTTCCACTGAAGAAACAACTGTTCAAAATTACCTTCTTTATTATTCTTTTAGAAATAACAAAGATAACATTTTTAACAGTTGTTGCGGCAGTGAAAATCCACAGCGTAAAGCACAAAGATTTAAACAGAACGTATATAACTAATCAAGTGCAAGGCTATTTACATTGACAGCTAGTATTACGCTACCTATATCTATTATTGTACTATATTATTCCTCACATTTTGCTGTGGCTACAGTTAACAAACAGTGCTATCAAGTGACAGTAACATTTTCCTTTGAACACTTGCTCTAAAGCATTATTAAACGAAAGCTTCCATTGTCTCATTTACACAAGTGACGACAAATTGCCAATGAAAAAAAAATAACAATAACCATAAACAAAATTTCAAAATTTAAGAGTAGAATTTTGAATTTTGCATATGGCAACAATAAAAAAATGATTTAGATTATTACACAAATTTTCACACGCATTATGTTAAATATTCTTATTATTATTTGCCCATAAATATTGTCATTGGCAACTTATGCCACTAAATAAAAAATATATTAATACATAATAATTACATTCACCCGTTTTCACTTATATCTATACAATCTTAATTTAATACAAATACCATACAAAAATACTGCTGACTGTACGTACGATGAGCATCAAAAACGTAGTTTTATGATAACTGTACCTATTATAACCCAATTTATCTATCCCATTAACTGTATATTACGATAGTAAAGAGCTCAAATTAATAAAACTGACAGTTAACAATAATCATTGTTTAATTTTAACAATGACAGATGAATTGACCGAATTTTACCTATGAACTTATATCAGTAGAAATACGTAATTTTTTATTTCTATTTATCTCGTGGAATGCCTGAATGGAAGTTTATTCAACTCTTTATGAAGAAATTTGTTAATATATTTGTATATTTAGTGATGTATAATCTTAAATAAAAAGCAAAGATTTTGATTGCTTTTGGGACATTTGGGCATGTCATTCAATTTAATAGTTAAGAAATATTTAAAAGTTTACCAAATGTTAATTTAAATTTTTATTAAGCAATCCTTAATGCTGTAGTTATTAATTTTTTATTAATATTTTTCTCGTAATGCTTATAAATACGCTTACCTACATGTGCGTACATTACTAAAATGGAATTGTTCATCCATTTTTTTAACACATTGATTACTTTATAATTAACTGAAAATTAGGTTTAGGAACACACAATTGTATTAACAAAAACCTTTTGAAAAAAAAACTTTAAGTTCCTACGTAGAAATAACATTTAGCTTCTTTACATTTCATGATATTCAAATCGTCGATTAAAAAAATATTTTTCAAAAGAAAAAGAAAAAAATCATAAACTGCCTACTATAAAAAGGTAATATAAACTTAAGAAAATAAATAAAATTTAAATCCCCAATATAAGATTGTAGTACTCTTATCACGTAACTTCAAATACAGATTAACTAATTTGCGTAACTATAATTTAAAAAACAAACTATCCATAGACCACAGTTTCACAGCACGAATTCGGCAACATTATGTGCGGTCCTACTTCAATGTCCTATATCTGAGCAGTGGCAACCTATCGTGGTCACCACGGCGGGGTACTCAGGTATTGTCGTCAGATGAGTCGTCTGACGATGAGCTGGTCAGTAAATTGGGTGTCATCGGCATCTTCCTGATGAATGGCTCCCGTGGTAGACTTTGCTGCCCCAGTGTCAGCCTCCTGACGCCCATCCTTTCGCTTTCGGGCAGTGATTTGCTGCATTTCTCCTCGGTTATCGCATCTCGTGATAGTGACCTGAAATGTTGATATACTTGTGATGTATCCTTAAATTCAAAGCTTAATGTTTTTTAAATTGGATTATTTTCGTGTCGAATTGTTCCATGTAAATTCATCTCATAATAACCAACTCATAGTTAAACAATAATTTAGTAATTTAGTTTTAAACATCATCAGCTCACTATACGTCCCCACCGAGGGGCTCGGAGCCTACCCTAAGTTAAGGGTGATTAGGCCATAGTCAAGTTTTGAACATAAGTATTTAATTAGTAAGTTATCGTTCAGTGGTATTTTTCACCGTTATCCTTCAAGATTACGCTTTAAAATTGGGTTATACTTATTATATAGCACCCATTGGGTTATTAGTACAATCTTATTTCATATATGGATACACCAAGTATACTTTATTGATCTTTCAAAAGTAATTATCACTTACCCAGTCAATTCCAGCATTGATCCTCTCCTACACTGCCCCCTGTGCGGTCCCTGCATGATGCTTGCTGGTCTACTTGAAGCACCAAGTGGATCAGAGTGGGCTACATCCTCCATCAGTAGTACAGATGGACCTCCCAAGCTTGTGCTTCTTTTCGACAGTAAATTCGGTCCAGTTCTAGATGTTACTTCTCCCTTCATGGATGACTCGCCTTTACTCCCATCCGTCTTATTACCTTCAGTCTCAGATCCTGACAGCAACTCTGGTGCTCCTTGTGTTGAACTTGAGCTCTCTCTTCGGAATAGACCTATGATAGATTTCGGATGTTTTGGCTTCTCTATGCCACCTTTTAGAATATAATAGGGTAAGGGGAAAAAGAAAAAAAAAGGGTGAGTCATATATAAGTAATATAAAAGAAAAATAATTTTAAATAGCAGCTGTAAAGGAAATGTGCAATTGCAAATTATAAATTAAAAAAAAAATAAAAATATAACAATTATATAATAGTAAAATATGTTATTCGATTTTCAAAAAGGTCGGTCGCAATTTTTTTTATTACTTTATTTACTTTTATTTACAGTACGTTATTCTTTATTTTCGGACAATTTACAATTTTCGTAATTCGATAGTAGAAATAATACGCAACCGATTTTCTTGGATTTCGCCGAATTTGTTTGGATAAGCAAATATCCCATAGCTTATGAGTGTGAAAAACTGAGACAAAAGAACTCATATGTTTTAATGAAAATGATATAGAGGATAATAGCTCAATAAAAAATGAGGTGATAAACAAAAAAAAATAAAAAAAAATAAACCATGGAAAATATATGAGGATCGAGACACAGAGAAAAATTATATAAACGATTTTTTTTAATATAAGCGTAAATATATTTATGACTTACAATCGCAATTCATATCTAAAAACAAATTATTTAACAATATCATATTGTTTTATTTTTGAGGTTATCTAAAGATCTGCTCACTATAGTACCCACTGAAAGGCTCGGAGCCTAGCCTATGTTAGCGGTGACTAGCCATAGTCAACCACGCTGGCCCAGTGTGGTTTGACTTCACACATATCTTTGAACTTCTTCTCAGACATGTACAGTACATCACGATGTTTTTCTTCACCGTAAGAACGTCGAATAAATGTACATATGTTAATCAAAAACTCATTGGTACATACATGATGGGATTCGAACTAGGACCTGCAGAATTCAAGTCAAGTGTTTAACCCTGGAGCCACCGACGCTCTACAGATGCAATTTATTTATTAAAATCATATAAGTATCATTTAATTCCTACTAGATTACTTAGTATCCAGGTTAAGTGTTGATAATCTTGATTTACTAGTGTACATGACATGACAGATGAAAATGACATTAAATTACATCATGCCAAAGCATGAAAGACAACGATGACAACAGTCACAATTCACCACATCTATAAAAAGCAGACATCACAGAGTTACTTCATGCTAGTTTACCTAAGAAAGTAGCTGATGGGGAGCTATAAGCTA